TTTTGCATTATAGACTTTATCGCCAAGATTTGAATTTGTCTATTATGCTTTTAGCATAACCATTTTTCTCTAAACCAATATTTCTGTCCCAGTGCGACAGTTTCAAAAAAAATAATAATAATTTGACCCGACTAAATTTTATTTGGTTTTGGTTTAAACTCTCAACGGTCTCTTACAACACGGATAAATTTTTACAGGTTAAGAATTTTGTTATCATCCCTAGTTAAATGTACTTCATAGTTGAATGTATGATAATCACCAAAACATAACACATATTGAGCAGTGCAGTTGAATGGATATAATATGATTAAGGCTAATAGTTCACAATTGAAAGTTCTAGTTTATCGAAATTTTGATTTCACTGAAATTTTAATAAACAGGTCACTCATTTTAGACTTATTTGCTAGTCTAAAAAACACCAAGTTCGATACACATATATTTCACTATTAACCCAAAAATATATATCTTCCAATTTTCTTGAAATATGTGGGAGATTATTGCAAATGATAAAAATTAGTCAATAAATATGTATCTAAAAGTCTTGTTAGTATTTGGTATTAATTTAGATATAAAAATCAATTTAAATATTTGAAACTAAAACCATAACAAGTGTTGTTCATCACTGTTAATTGTTTCATTTTGAATGCATATAAATAGAGGAGCAAACTTTTCTTCTAATCATCAGTAAGAGCAAAACCTTCCCCCGCCTCATTTTATTAGAGATAAAATACTCACTAATCGTTTTTCAACGGAGTAATTATCTTCAACTCTGACGAATATGTCCTCAAGGACAATTTTTCTACACGCTTTAAAAAAGTCGGAGATATAGTTGCTTACTTATTTCATAACATCGCGAGGCAAAACATTGTCACAGTATAATTCTCACATTTTCAATTACTAGATATTTTTGTGTAGATATTTATTAATATAAAATTAAAATTAAAAGAAAATATTATCAGTCCATTTTATAATTTTACAATATTACATCCTAATAAAGGATTTTCTTTTTTACTTTTTTGCTTACCTTAACTTTTTCACCCATACCCAGACTTAAACCCTGATCACTTCTCCCCTTGGCAAATAAAGAAAGAGTTGGAAGAAGAAAATAGGAAACCACTACTAATCCATTATAGGAAACAACAAAAAAGAGTAGGAGTCATGACTTCCGCAGATTTTGCACTTGACCCATCTTTATTAATTTCCAAAGAGCAGTCTTGGCTTGTTCCAAGGTTTCCACAGGATGTCCTTCTTCAAAAGATACCTGTGTACGTTGAACTGCCAAAAAAAAAACAGAACAAAAATTGAGATCTAAAAGCTAAATGCAGAATAATCGTTTAAAAACACGCAGCTCTTACCTGTGCGCCCTGTCGGACGCGAATGTCAACCCCCTTGCTATCGATTGATATGAGAGCAGCATCATCCACCTCGGATTCAGTGGACAAGAGCTCTTTAAGAGGCTTTGAGAACAGCAAATTAAGTTCCTAGAGTAGAGCAAGTTCAGACCCAGTTAAAGACTGCACATATGAGATATTAAAATCTAAACAAATAAGTTAGACCCAGTTAAAAGCACCCAGACATTAGCTATAAAAGTCTGGACAAACGAGAAAATCTGAAAATTATATAGTGAAATCCATTAAAGTTGCTTAATTAATTACCACAACATCGTCTATTCTTTTAGAACGGGAGAGCAACTTCAATAATAGTGAGATCACGCATGGCTAAAAACAGGGGAGGAAACCATTCCATATACTCAGAAAATAAAATATTGTTGCTTCTCCAGTCAAGTTGGTCATGGAAAAGTAGAGATTGTAAATGGCAAAAGGAGAAGACAGCTTCACTACATTACGACAAAAAACTCAAAAAAGTTTACCTTCAGATATTGCTCGCCTCCATCAACTGCAATCTTGTCAGGCTGAAGTGCTTCATATTCCTTGACATCAACCCAAGCAACAGTGCCAAAGCCTCCAATGAAATATATGTCACTGCCGACCATTCAATTATCAGTCTTTAAGACACCATGAAACAGATGCACAACTAACTTGCTACAAAATGATCTTACATATTATTAAAAAGAAGTGTAAAAGAATAAACCAACAGAAAAATAAGCCATGCATGTACTATTGTGGCAATCTCCAGGAAGCCTCCTTTCAAATTTTCTCGTGTACTTCTGAAAGAAACTGAATTATTTCTATATTGATAATGAGCATATTTTATGAATATATGTAGCTGTTACAAAGAGAAAAAATAAGAAACTAGTTATAGCAAACCAAACCAAACCAAATAAAATCTCTCATATGAATGAGACATCCTAACCGGTATTATATGTTTTTAGGAAGATTAATTTCTTAATATTAAGACAAAAGATTGAGAAATTTTCCACCCCCTCAAGTAAGTGGATCATGCTCGCTTCTTTTGCACCCACTGTCTGTTTTTTGCAAATGCCAATTAAGGCTATAGGCAATATTTGGGTTTCTTTGTTGCTTTATATGAGCAATATACAATTATTGGTCCCTAAAAGGAGTCAATTCTGGTGTTGGAGGACAATGTAATCATGTGGTGGTGATGTACCACTTTCTGCCTTTCCATAAAGATCATCTTACTTGCATAAAAGTCCACTAACTACAAATCAATCCACAATCATGCTGCACAAGGTTGTGGGTAATGCAAATGACAGATTATTGCCGCAAAATAATTTCATAGACTTCTCAACTAATCCTTACATCTTCAAAAATTATCTTGAGCAATAACAATTCACAAGCTCCTTGCGCCATCACCTGAACTATGCCTTTGCATTAATTGACACATAAGGGGTACAAATCAATCCACGTTGCACGGCGTTGTGGGTAATGTTAATGAGAGATTCGTGTCGCAAAATAATTTTATTGACTTCTCAACTGATCTTTAAACCTTCAAATATTATCTTGAGCAATGATAATCCACAAGCTCCTTGTGTCATCGCCTGAACTATGCCTTTGCATTTGATTTAGTGATCATATTATGCTTCTTACTCCTCCAGGCAACAAGATAGTCTCTAAGAAAAAGTAAAGAAATCTGTAAGAGACCACTTACTGACTTGCAAGCCTACAAAATGAGCATTTGTATATGCCTCAAGGATCAATCCGGTATTCCTTTTGAATATAGAGTTCCTTTATCAAAATTAGCCTTCAGGTAATGCGGTATTATGTAGATTATATAAAGGCGAACCGCTCTCGAGCGATGCATAATTGGCTAACACAACCTCTCTCGAGCGA